TTGAATATATTTAAAATTTGGTTATTTTTTATCTTTCGGTATGATATCGAAAGCAATTTTCCTTTAACACTGATTTTTAAGTATAGCTCAAACTCGTGAGGATTTTTATTATCAACATTGTCTTTATTATTTTAATTTTGGAAATTTTCACATGATTATTCAGATGAAATTTGAGACAAAAAGTTTAGGCTTTTTAATTTTTATCATGTTTAAAATAATGTAATTGTAAAATAATTATAATCGTACAAACGTTCTTTTGACTGAATAACATTTACATTATGATAAAAATTCCTAATCAATTAAAAAAAAATAATATTGCTTAAACTTCCATCTGAAAGGTCTAGTACATTCTTTTTGAAGATAGGTTGAACTCCGACCCACCCCAGAGGGGTATACGGAGATAAAAGATAAATTATTCAATTGAAAAAATTTCTCTAAAAACTAAAATTTTGCCTAATGACAGTGGTGGTGATTAGCTAAAAGTGAATTAACTAAAACTCTTTACAGTTAAACACATGTTTTAAAGGCAATGAAAGCCAATAGCTCCGGTGTAAATGTCGAGAATTAAATGATTATAATAATAGGAAACAAGAGATGAAAATAAAATCTCAAAACTAAAATCAATGAGAGCTAAAAGTCCTAAGTGTAAATGTCTAAAAGTATAAGTCTGAATAGAAGTCGATGAAGTCTAAAATCAAAAGAAAAGTTGATAGAAATTTAAAGTGTAAGGCTAAAAGTCGATCAGTATGAAATAACGATGACATGTTCTATTATTGGTTCATGACTGGGGTCAGTTGATCAGATCAGGGGGCTAAAATGTCCTCGAGGGTTTGTTTTATAATTTGAATCACAATTTTCCTGCAGGCCAATATAACAAAGAATTGGTGTTCCTCTTCGTAGTTATTCATGTGGGTTCCACGAAGTTCCCGGAATCTTGAACAGTGCTTATTTAGATGTTTAATGTCCTGTTTCACTCCACAGTAATTTCATGAAGCTGATTTCCCGAAATATTTTTGTTGATAGGTCCCTAACACTCCGTGGCCAGTAAGGAGCTGATTTAAGTAAAAATTGGCCTGCAGGCGCTTTATGCTAGTTTCTTCCCTTGTCACTAGACCTCCAGTCATCTCTCCAGCGGTTGAAAATGATGTTCTTAATATAAGATTTAATTTGACATCTTTCATCCGAGGTCTCAAAATCAATCTGGCCGATCTGGTTACCTGAGGTCTCAAAATCAATCCTCTCTAGCGAGATGGCCGGTGCCAGCACAACGGTAGCAATGGCGTACCGCAAAATATTCGTCGTAGTTGTGTCTTCTCCAGCTGATGTTAATTTTATCCTGGTATTTGATGTAATGAAAAGCATCAGGTGAAAGTTCCACAATCCAGTGCCGGGTACCATTCTTTCCTTCCAAGGAGCCTCTCACGTTTACCTCCCCCTCCTGATTAATACCTTCACGTTGGGACACCAGTGACTCCCCGATTGTTTCTTTGCTCACCTGCCCCTCAACTCCAAAGATAATTTTAGAGGTTTTTTTTTAAAATTTAGGTGGGTTGAAAGTATATTCTTTGTTTAATCCAATTTTTTCCATTTCAGTTCTAAATATTTCAAGTTCTTTTTCTGTCTCCGTTTCTATTATAATTCCTCCATTTCTAACTTTCCCAACCATTTTCACCGCAATTTTCAACTTGGCAGGATCAATTCGATTTGTTATAACTGTTTTTGTTTTGTCCGATCCCATATCATTTGCCATTGGTCTTATAAATGCTATATGTTCCTTCTTCTTTTTGATATTTATGGTCCTGTTATTCCTATTGTTCTTTATGATGCCTGCATAAGTTTTCCTGTTTAACTCTCTCTGCTTGTTTGTGTCTTCTATTAACGGATCTAAGTAAATACGATTCAATGCGGAGTATTCATCTGTCTTGAACTGTAGAACTGCATTTTGAGAGTCCTGTTTTGACACCAGAATCATCAGATCCGCCAAGTAGCCTCCTTATCGCTTTTGGTCATCCTACAGTTGTCTCTCAACAAGATTGAGTGGATTCTGTTCTGGAATGTCATTGCAGGCGTTCAACCCGTGTTCAAATAACAGTCCACTGTATCAACGAGGATGAAAGCAACAGAACAGAAAAAAAAAAGTGCAGTGAAACTTCTAAAGAGTGACCATCCTCTATTCTGTGAATAAATTAATAAGAGTGATAATATAAAGAACGATCGTCATTAGATTTTCAAAATAATCACATCCTGTATTAATAAAAAAAACCCATCAAAAACAACTGTTTGAAGTTATTTTTAGGACTTATTCTCCTTCAACCTTATGAAAATTTTGTTGAATTGGTTTTCACCCCAAAAATAAGAAAATACCACCAACTTCATTTGTAATGAGACTCGATCACTTCAGAGCACTGCTTTAATGTTTGAATCACTTGTTTAAGACATGTTTAAAGTTCTAGCCTACAGGAATTGCAACTGAATCAATTGTAATGTACAGTATCGTATCTGGTCATTCTCCCACTTAAACCACACTGTAATTCAGTTGTGGTGTGTGTTGTTTCTTGCACCTGTTGCCGGTACATTTTAATGCCAGGTTAAAAAAAAAAAAAAAAAAGAGCAAGAAAGCTCTGTGTATTGGTTGTTTACAAAGGGTTGTCTTGTCTTTCTCAGAGGCTTTGCTTTGCTAAGTTTATGGAATAACAAGTCTGTGCCTTTAGAAACACAGTCTCTTATAGAAGCTCCATTGTATTTTTGCATTTTAATATTTTTTTCTTAATAATACAATGAATGAAAAAGGATAAAATTATTTAAATGAAATTGGGTAATGATAGAATAATACTGTTTCTTAAAAAAATTGTTCATTAAATACACCAGTAAAAAAACAATTACGAATATATATTTTATTGTCACATAACAAGGCAAAATAATAATAAAAAAAAAGATTTATTCAGCTTACATTTAGATCGTATTAATATGCATACAATAAATTTGAAAATAAAATCACAATCCAATTATTCAACTTCAAGGATAAAATAACCAATTATGACAAGATACAAATATACCCACATATAACACCTTTATTTTTAAAGATGTAAAGAATTGTACAGATACAGTAGCTGATGATATTACAGGCACATTAACTTTTTAAAATAGACTTATTTGCAATTTTTCAGTAAACCTGTGATTCCTTACTTCTCGGGAGAATTAAGAGTACAGTCTTTATACAATAAAAGTAAAGCAAATTAAACTTGTTAAAATAATAACATTAGAGCAATATCTACAAGAGCAAAATGTAAATTGTCAGCAAGAGGAATTTTTACATATATTTTTTTCTCTAAGAAGAATATATAATATTTCCTGTGAAGGTGTAGGATTAAACTAAGTGCTTTACATTTCATGGACGTCATCATGCTTCAAATTTACATTAGTAAATTTATAAAGGCCCTATTTAAAAAAATATATATATTAGCTTTTATTTTAGTTTTCTAATAAATGAAAGCATAATAGTCATACATTGCAAGTTAATTAATTAACATAATTTTTAGTCTGCTTCATTTGTTATCTAGAGTGAGTATTCTACGGTTTTTCTTTCATATTCTTGTTCATTATTTTTACATAATGATCAAATATGGTTATAAAATGATGAAACTGCAGCTTAACTTTTTTGAAGCGGAAAAAACAGCTGGTATGAAAATTTAAATACGTAGTATGTTCACACTCAACTCCTTCGCTCCCCCCAAAAATGAAATTGGCAAATATTGGAATTAGACGATCCGTTTGATACTCATTTTATTTATTTTAAAATAATTATTTTCAAGCTTGAATTTTATCACATTATTTTAAAAAAAGAACAATTGTAAAGAAAAAAAACAGAAACGATGTTCAATTATTGGAATTTTAAATTTATTGAATTTGTACTAAACCATACTTTTTTTGATTTTTCAACATACTTTCAAAAAGCAGCAATGCGCACTACAAATAAATATTTTACGATTTGTATTGTACTTTGCTAATTTTAAAATTTAACTTTACATAACATAATTTTATTTGCATACAAATTTTTAAGAACAATAAATTTTTAGCAATAGAGAGGCAAAACAGACATTATCACGATCAACTTTTCACAGTTACGCAAACAGCTGGATAATTTTAAGGAGCATTATTAACTGATATTTCATTATTCAACTTATGATGAAATGTTCAGTTTTTCAATAAAATTTGCTCAAAATATTCTAAAAATTCAAGAAATTGCAACGTGTTTTTTCTCTATTGGGTATAAGAGAGTAATATATTGCGTAAAAATAATTAATGCATTGATATATGTAGGATTGTGATTCTTCGCAGAATTACACTAATTCATGACTTCTGGGAATCAATAATTCATATTCCGTCAAAATTTATCCACTAATCCAACATTTAAATTTCGGAACTCATGCAAAATCTCGTTAACAAACTATCTATATCACACTTACCAACACCCTCTTGAGAAGAGCGTCTGATTTCTGACATTTTGTCGTAAATACAGCTTTTATAACCAATCTTTTTACAGTTCTTTCTGTAGATTTCACAGATTTTAAATTTCTTTTATCTTTTTTGGTGCAAAAAAGGAATAATATTTTTTTGAATATATATATTCTTTTGTATGTTGCTGAGAAAAATTTTATTAGATAAAATTTTTTTCTCGCTTTAAATTTTATTATAAATTTTACATATGTTTCTTTAATGCACAAAAACGAATGTTTTATTTATCTTCTATCTACAAAAAGAAAAAAGAATTAAGTACTAAAAAATAAAACTTACACATCGCAAAAAAAATTTCAGAGGATTTCTTCTTCCAAAAATTACATGACTGTATAAACATGAAAGATGTTTTTAAAAACATAATAAGTATTACTCTTTTTTAAAGAGCTCAAAATATTCAAAAACTTCGTAGCAACATGCTAAAAGATATTGTAATTTGGTATTAAAATAATATCATAAACTAATACAGAATTATCAAAAGAAGTTACAATAAACATTTTCAGCTGTATATTACCATGCATAGTTATAAAAGATAGAACAAAAGCTAATTTAAACTAAAGTTGCATGCTTTTAACAGTAGAAGGACGGAAAATTAGTATATACCTATATTGCCCAAAAGCAGTCAAAATGACGGGATTTTGAATGCTTAAATAAATTTGTTTAAAATTAGTTTTTAACATTTTTTAATATTATTTACAGTTATATAACAAGTTATTAGTAAATATTAACAATAAATAAAATTATATGTCGTGCGAAAAGTCACAAAATTCTAAGAAATTGTGTCATTATATACATCATTGTTTTTCTAATTGAAATTAAAAGCAGTCAAAATGACTTCCTTAGGTAATCTAGTGTTAAGAAAGTTAAATTAAGATAAAAACTTTTTTTGTCAATTTTTTTATTACTGTCATTGAACAGCCGACATAATTTTTCGTGTTTACGACTACTAATGTTCAACTCTGCAGTCTTGTAAATTTGAACTCAATCCAAAAAACGAGAGAGCTCCTGGATCGAGTATTGGGAGAAATTTGTCTCCGTAGAGGACTTTTAGATGGAACTAACTTGCATTTGCGATACATGGAGAGGAAAACCTTTGAAAATTATTATTTTTCTTCTTTTTATTTTTTGACATTTAAATGTTTTACCTTTAACTGTATATTTTTATCTTTAGTATATCATATTCTCTTCAGGATTAAATCATTTGTTTAACTATCCTTGCCATTGAAACTGCTGAAGAAGATGAACATTTTATTTTATTTTAAATTATGTAACCATATATTTAAATTATGTAACCATATATATTTACCAATATTTGATCCAGGAGCTCCTGGATCAAATATTGGGAGAAATTTGCCTTTACGGAGGACTTTTTGATGGAACTAACCCGCTTTGGGTTACATGGAGAGAGAAACCACAAAAATCTTCCACAGTTACCCTGACAGCAAGGGGACTTATAACTCATGATCCATCTAACACTGAGAACATATGCTGTGGTCGGTGCAAGCCGGATGCGGAATTTGTATCGACCAGCCATCGCTGGGATTCGCACACTGTTGAACTACCCCGAGCCATTACGCTTCTTTTTAGTTAATTAATAAAATTCTGATAGTTACCCACATTTTCTTTTTAGCCCTCTTGACCAAAATCATCCATAAACTGTTTTAGCTTGATTAGATCGGCCTCATTTACTGTAGGTTTAGCCTGCAACAGTGATTTTTTCATGTCTTCCTGGAACAAAATAAAATGATATGCAAATAAGTGTCGCAGTGATTGCTTAAAACAATGGAAAAAAAATCATTAATTTAAGTACCTAAAAATAAAAAAAATAGATTAATTTAATTTATTAAGATTTGAAGAAATGTTATAAGGAATTTGCCCTTTTTATACACATTGTCTAAAATAGAAAGCTAACTTCTTTTTAAAACAATGTAAAGATAGGTTACAAAAATTTGCCAATGACTGCTAGATACCTTCTTTATATTTTGTATATATTTCTGAGAATGTATTTGCAATAAGAATGTATTGAATGAATTATTGTTTATTTATCGGAATGCATAGATCTGTTTCTAAGTCATATTTCAGAGCTTAAAAATCTCTAATTTGTTATGAATTTATTGAATTATTTTTTGTATAGTATAACAAACTAACATTTATTTATGTTTTATTTATAAGAGGTTGAATTGAGTTGGTGCAAGAGGAATAAATTAAATAACTTCACTACCATTAAATTAATGGTAAGAACAATGCTTTGTTTTATAATATTTCTTTAAAATATAGAATCTGAGCTAAGTTATACAGGTTTATGAAGTGATTCCAATAAAATAGGAAAAAAAATTTGGTACAAAGGATGGTAGGTTTAAATGAATAGTGAAATTTTGTGAGATTAGTAATTTTATATCCGTCGTTCAACAGCAGACCCAATTTTTGGGTTTACGACTACTAATGTTCAACTCTGCAGTCTTGTAAATTTGAACTCAATCCAAAAAACGAGAGAGCTCCTGGATCGAGTATTGGGAGAAATTTGTCTCCGTAGAGGACTTTTAGATGGAACTAACTTGCATTTGCGATACATGGAGAGGAAAACCTTTGAAAATTATTATTTTTCTTCTTTTTATTTTTTGACATTTAAATGTTTTACCTTTAACTGTATATTTTTATCTTTAGTATATCATATTCTCTTCAGGATTAAATCATTTGTTTAACTATCCTTGCCATTGAAACTGCTGAAGAAGATGAACATTTTTATTTTATTTTAAATTATGTAACCATCGTTGAAGAGTCGACCCAATTCAGAAAACCTAGGAACTCCTGGATCAAATATTGGGAGAAATTTGCCTTTACGGAGGACTTTTTGATGGAACTAACCCGCTTTGGGTTACATGGAGAGAGAAACCACAAAACAAAAATCTTCCACAGTTACTCTGACTGCAAGGGGACTCTCAACTCATGATCCATCTAACACTGAGAACATATGCTGTGGTCGGTGCAAGCCGGATGTGGAATTTGTATCGACCAGCCATTGCTGGGATTCGCACACTGTTGAACTATCCCGAGCCATCACGCTTCTTTTTAGTTAATTAATAAAATTCTGATAGTTACCCACATTTTCTTTTTAGCCCTCTTGACCAAAATCATCCATAAACTGTTTTAGCTTGATTAGATCGGCCTCATTTACTGTAGGTTTAGCCTGCGACAGTGATTTTTTCATGTCCGCCTGAAACAAAACAAAATGTTATGCAAATGAGTGTCTCGGTGCTTGCTTAAAACAATGAAAAAAATCATTAATTTAAGTACCTAAAAATAAAAAAATAGATTAATTTAATTTATTAAGATTTGAAGAAATGTTATAAAGAATTAACTCTTTTTATACACTTTGTCTAAAATAGAAAGCTAACTTCTTTTTAAGACAATGTAAAGATGTAACCATTTTCCAAGAAACAATAAGAAAACAAAATACCGGGCTAGCTCTGAAATTATTTATTTATTTAGTTACTAGCAGAGCACAGAAAACAGTTACAAATTACTAAAAAACATATTAACAAAACGAAACTCACAAAACGGAGAGATTATTTTGGAGATGTTCTCCAATCGGTTGCCGCAGTTCAACTCAAAAGTTTCGCCACAAGATGGCGTGGTGGTAATTCAGTTTTAAAGTAGTATAGTTCTGTTACAAAGATAGGTTACAAAAATTTGCCAATGACTGCTACATACCTTTTTTATATTTTGTATATATTTCTGAGAATGTATTTGCAATAAGAATGTATTGAATGAATTATTGTTTATTTATCGGAATGCATAGATCTGTTTCTAAGTCATATTTCAGAGCTTAAAAATCTCTAATTTGTTATGAATTTATTGAATTATTTTTTGTTTAGTATAACTAACTAACATTTATTTATGTTTTATTTATAAGAGGTTGAATTGAGTAGGTGCAAGAGGAATAAATTAAATAACTTCATTACCATTAAATTAATGGTAAGAACAAAATAGAATCTGAGCTAAGTTATACAGGTTTATGAAGTGATTCCAATAAAATAGGGAAAAAAAATTTGGTACAAAGGATGGTAGGTTTAAATGAATAGTGAAATTTTTTGAGATTAGTAATTTTATATCCGTCGTTCAACAGCAGACCCAATTTTTGGGTTTATGACTACTTATGTTCAACTCCGTAACCTTGTAATTTTGAACCAATCCGAAAGACAAGGAAACTCCTGGATCAGTACCCCCAGAGGTATTGATTTGTTATGAGAACATGGAGGACTTTGCGACTCGACAGATTTAGCGCGCATCAGTCACCATTTATTACACGTGAGATCGAACCCATGAACTCTTGGACATGGGTCCAGTGCCCTACCAACCTATCTAAAAATATGAATTATTTTAGCTTTAGAAAAAAAAATTAGCATAGAGAAATATGATTACAAAGCAAGCATAGGGAAGTGCCTTAGTCATAAATTAAAACAAATGTGGTAGGAATTGTGGGAAATGTATATAGAAAAGAGAAAAAAAAGTGTAGGGAGAGACAGTATTGTAGTTAAATGAGCTTCATTGAATATACTTGATTTATTTATCAGTTTCTTAATATATCAATTAATTTATTTGTCAATTCATATAATTGGAACAACAGTTTTAGACAATAAAAAAGGCGACAAAGTTTTGCCACTTCTAATAAGAAACATGACGTTAAAAAAAGGAATAAAATAATAAATAAGTATGAATCTTTTTCTAAACTCAGATCCTGTAAAATTCAGAATCTGGAATGAAAATTTAAAAATTGAACAACAATATTGTCTGAAAGTAAAATGACAGATTCGTAAGTCCCGGGAATTGCCAGGAGAAAACGCAAATTTACCCCAAAACTGGGACTTGTCATTGTCAGAGAATTCGACTTTCACTCATCCGCTTTTCGTAACGTGCTCTTTTGTAATAGAGAATTAAAAAAAAAAAATAATAATAATGATCAAATGTTTTTGGTATTTAGCCTACTAAACAACACTAGTTGTTTGGTAGAGCAGTCATGAAGTTGCTATGGTTGCAGATTTTTTTCCGTACTTTTCTAATTAATTTTTTGATAATTTTCCAAAAACAAAAATCTTGATCTCCATAAATAATAAATTAAAATTTAGTTTCTTGTGCCATAATATCGAAATAAAACAAAAATCATAGTAAAATAATAAAAAAATTCTTTTACCATTGTAATTTTAGGTTCTTTTAATTTATCACCAGGCACTTCAACCCAAGACATTTCAATTGCTCCACGTGCACCGGGGGAGCAGACTTCTAGGAGGTCATCGACTTCTACAGTTGGGTCAGTTCGAGAATAACCTCTTACCTTTGAGCAAGAAAACAATTAGTAACAAATCTATCACAATAAAATACAGTAGGACCTGTACACAACAGAGAACTCTGGGAACATAAAAATGCTTGTTAAATCTGAATACAAGGATTGAATCTCAAGATAAGGATCCGGAACGAGATTTTTTTTTTACAAGTGACACTGAAACTAGAAATGATTCTGCAACCACTTAGATATTTATCTGATGCAATTCAAGTCACTTGAAGCTGTATTTCTCTTTTGGCGATCGAAATGGGCTGCAGGTGGCGTAGAGCAGAGCTCTTTACCTATGGCAACACTTCACATGCTTTCCCCATTAGCGTGGGGAAAGTCATAGAGGAAGGAAGTACGTTAGTTTCTTTCTTGATTTTCATACAGATTAAAATCTTTTAAGTTGACTGCAAACTACATAAAACATAGTTCTAAAGAAAAGTATTACGCAAATTTTAAAAAATATTTTTATTAAATAAAAAGGAAAAATATTAAGAAAAAGGAAAATATCGTAGTACATTCCTATACAACTGAAAAGAGGAGGAGAGGGAAGGGAGAAGGGCTAAAGGCATGAAACCGGTCTCTCCCCAGATGGCGTATTCGAGTGTTGCGATCGCCATTTACAAATCTGCGTAAAAAAAATCGCTATTGCACGTGAATGAGAACATAGAAAAAAAAAGAGGGTGCTGGGAAGCATGGAACAAATGCCTCGTTAACGATATTTTGCGTAAGTAACAAAAAATCAAATTTTAGATTGACGGAGCTCTGAGAAAATTATGTCGGAATATAAATTATTCATTAGCGGAACTCCACAAGTTAGCGGAAGAATCACATGCTCGGGCTGATCAAGTGTCTAGGTGGCATTTCTGAGTTGTCGATAACTTTGAAAAGTTTATGTGTCAAATTTTTTTTATTATTATTATAAAAAATGGAGTATAAGCGTGATTCTTTTCAATAATTTTTCGTTACTTCTGATACTATTGTATGTTTCCATAATTATTTCCCTTACTAAATCTAAGAAAAAGTGGGAAAATTGTTTGTTAAAAGAGTACATTCTGAGATATTTATAGCATTGTACCAAACAAAACAATTACAATTTGCTCGTTATGAGTGGAATCTGTAGTTGTTTTTAAAAATTTTAATCAGAGAAAACAAAAAAAGGCTGAGGCATAATGTCACCAAGTTTCAGTGAGCTCTGCACTTTTTTTTTTTTTAACTTTCTTCTTTGGAATCTCAGAAGCCCATAAAACCTGCTTAACAGCCCTTTTATCTTCCTTGCGAGCTGTGTGAATTTGTTGAGTTGAGCAGCAAGGTAGCTGACATTATTGGCAATGAAGCTTAAAACACCTGATACTAGACTAAAAAAAAATTTTCCTTGGTTAGCACGCCTGATCAGCGAAAAGAAAGATGCACCCTCCACCTTAGGTCTGATGTTTAAAAGCAAATCAATGAATGGCGAAGTAAGTTCAAATAATCTTTCCTTCCTTCTTACAATCTTTTAAACTTTGTGTCAAGAGTAAAATTTTCCAGATGCAATCAAGCTTATGTTTCTTTCCTATTTTTCATTGATGTTCCCCTTTTCATTAGAATAAATCATAATAAAATATTAAAAAAATAATAATAAATAAATAAAAAATAACAATAGTATTTTTTTATTGATTTTTTTTTGTTAAGTATTTTTATTGTATACTACTAGCTAGGACTGGGCTATAAATCGATATATCGCGATATATCGATTTTACGTCTGTATCGGCAGGCCGATACAGCGACTTTCGTTCCAGGCGATGCATCAGAAATCTGATTTAAGCCGTCGAGTAAAGAAGACGAACGATATAGCGATATACGATACAGTGATATAGCGATACAAGACACGCAAGGATGCCAACTCGCGCTGGGGAAGACGATGTACGTATCGTTATATTGAAACGGCCTTGATTGATGAGCGGTAGAATCAGATTCAGTTTTGAGAATATATTGCATGTTCGTTTCCGCACCTCTTAGTTTTTTTTTCCTACTTTGTCGCAATTTGATATCGTTTCTTGTAGATTATTTTCAGTGGGACTGACTTTGTGATCGCTTGTTTCTTAATTAATTAGGTAAA